TGTGGAGCGGCTCGTGGTTTTGAACTCTTGTCCTGGTGGTTAGCAGCCCAATGCAAAACCATGATTCCGTCGGACCAGACAAGTAGGTGTGTGAAACGTTTGAAGAGGGGATTGGTCATTCTGAGTTTGTAAGAGCGAGCCGTCCCAAGAGCGGGGAGTGAGAATCTCGTGACCACCAAGGAAGAACTGCCACCAGCAGTCACGTGTGAAATCTGTCTGAAGTGGACGAGGAGGCAGAGACACCAAAGGACAGAATAGAGGAGCCATGCTGAGACCACGAGGCAGAACTGTGGGCTGCCCACGGCAGAGGCCGTGGAACCACGTGGCTGAGAGGCTGAGGCCAGAGAGAGACATACCTGCCAGCAATGCTAAGAAGAGGGGCTGTGGACAAAAGAACAGTGTCCTGAACATTTTGTGACTCCATAATTGTGAGCATTGTCTGTGAGTTCCGTGTGGCCGTTGCAATGAATTATCAACCCCAGTAGAGTGCTGTGAGAGCAATGGCTGGGGGCAGAGTGGGGTGAGGAAGGGTGGAGGTGGAGGCACGTCGGACCTCTCCCTGCGGGAGTGAGCTCTGGGCTGTCAAGGGGTTGGATTCATCTCCTTTGTTTGGCTGGAGGAAGTCAGCTGTGGCTTCGAAGGCAGATTCCTCACTAGCAAACCCGCATAGCATTGAGCAGATCTGGTGTACGAGACCTCTTTTAAAGTGTTACAGAGCAAAGAAGTCACTCTGTGGGTTCAGGTGCACCTGACCCCAACCATGGTCTTTTCATTCTCCTCCTATGTATTTGAAAGATGGCCCATGAATAGGGAAGACTGCCTAAGTCACGCAATGGAATCATGGTGTTGGTGGAGAAATACGCTACGAACCAGGAACTGCCAGAGGAACAGACAAATCTGTCTTGGAGGAAGTGTAGCCAGAATGCTCCTAGAAGGGACGATGCTGATACTTAGGACATGGTCCATAAAGAAGGACACGAGTTAGCAGGTCTGCCAGAGAGAGGAAGACCCTCAAGGAGATGCACAGAGACTGTGGTGTAACAA